AAGAAAAAATGAGATAGTACAGATTTCATATCAATTCGGTGGCGACTACAAACATTTATTATTAAATCTTGCCACTTATTTTTTGAACAAAAACACATCCTATTTCGCTTTTTTGATTATGCCTATTAATTAAAAATTTTACTTTGACCTTGACTTCTGATCGGACGACACTGTTATATCATCTGGTCGTTTAGAAAATATTACAAAATGCACTTTTTTTTTTAAAAAAAACTTTGACCTGGAAGTGAAGGTCAAATTGACCTTATTTACAGTCCACACCTGTGGATGATGCAGGTGTGTTTCAATATATATCTAAGGGCTCAAATGATATGACCCAGACCCAGATTGAAACAAACGAACTCATCGCACACTTTCTTTCTTTGAGTGATGCAGGTATATTTCAAGTTCCATTATATCATAGTGGTTCAAAGGCCACACAAATTAAAAAAATATATTGTCAAGACATCAGTATACTTTGAATTTCGCACTAATTTGGCCTATGACTTTGAGGTGTCATAGTGACCTAATTTCAGTTGCATTGCACACCACCCATGGATGATGCATATATGTCGTAAGTGTCATAAAGATATCTCACACAGTTCAAAAGATTTGGTCGAGATAAGGCTGTTAGAAGAAGAATCAGTACTAAAACTATCTGTCTCTCTTTATTCCAAGAAGAGACATTATCATTGATAATAGCCAGTTTTGACACGTACACTCGTCAAAATGTGATATGTTTGAGAAACACTATGCCCCGAGGGGAAGCCATTTACGAAGACCAAGCAATCATGAGAGCTAGAACATTTCAGGTGAAAGGCATTTTTGCAAATAATTGAAGGTGTAGGCGAACGGATATTGTACCATCGCATGAAATGTTATTAGGGACCCATGTTCTAAACAAGATACTGATTAGAGTGGAGATTATGGGACTTACTCAATAAAGTAAGGAAAACGCTATGTGTCAAAATTAAGGTCATTTTCATTATCTGGAAAAAAATGACAGATTTTGACCAATATAAAACTCATTTGATATCTAAATTATATTATGGAATGCAAAATTTGGTTCGAGTCTTATAGGAAAATTGAAGTTATATGACGAAATCAAAGACACGAGTTTTTGAAAGTCCTCTAACTCTGGAAGTAAAGGCGTATTTTGACCAATACCAAACCTATCCGAGATATTCTTAATACAGAACATATTCCAAACCTGGTTCCAATTTTACAGGCAAAATTAAAATTATTTGACGGAAACACCGAAATTATCTATTTTGACCTTTTAAAGACACATAACTGGGGTCAATATTGACGGATTTTGACGAAAGATCGCACTAATAAAAATAGATATAGCAAGTTCAAATCTGACGGCAATTTTGTAGCAAATATTGTTCAAAAGTAAAAATGAGATTTACTTGACGGAAATTGAAAAATGATGTAACTTAATGGAACAGGCAGACAGGCAGACAGATCTCGAGGGCATAAAAATGTGATCTTCTAGAATTGTTTTGTAAGCCTGTTTTTGTGCCAATATCTTCCAAAGGAGACAATCAAAATAATGATAATAGATAGCTAAAATCTACCCCAAGAGGGATCTCGTTATAAATGTGATGGATGTGGTGCAGTACAATTATTTAATTTCAGTTAAATTACCTTATATTTTCCCCCGCTTGAATTTCACTTCTTTAAAGCGCGTTAAAAGTTCTACACGTAGGAAACTGCATACGGCAAGATAAGATAATTTTTTCTAGATGAAACACGATATATTCATAACTGCCTGACAAGATACATATCCCGTGTCATTTTCCTAAAGGCGGAGAACATACTTATTATACTTTGTAACATTAGCTGTTGAACAAAAACCAGAAAATAATGAATCCCAATCACGTAGTGGTGGACAAGAGTTATCGCATAAATTAGATATCTACTGAAATATCTTACTTATCACTTACCTTTTTATACTGTTCCACAAACAAATTAGTTTATATTCATGAAACGGAGGACGGTAGAGATACAATCGAGATGTAAGATAGTTACAAGTAAAACAAGCTACCAGCTTATATCAATTTATCTTGTTGGCCCGGACGAAGCGCGCGTGGAGGGGGAGAAGGGGCGGGGGTGGGGGTGTGGGCTTACTGTGGGAAACCGAAGCACGCGGAAAAATCCATGTGGTTGGGCAGGTGACCCCATACCTGTTCATGTTTGTTCCAGGAATCGAACCCTGGATGGCTATATGAAAGGCGAATATTAAAGATGACAGTTAAAAGAAACACATGATAAGTGAGTCCGAATTATTCTGACGTTCTATTCACATTTTTATGTCGATGTTCAGTCGATGAACATCATTCTTCGACTCCAGACCGATATAAAAAGTCTATGTAACGTCAGAATAATTCGGGTTAATGACAAATTAAACGATAATGTCAAATTAAGTAAATTGTCTTGTTGAAATAGACAAAAAGAAAAACATGCATGACCTATATTGTCATTAAAGGTTACATTTTATTTCTACAGAGAAGTGGAAGGTAATCGACGATATGATTTCTTGTAAATGATATTAGATTCGTTGTGATGTCTTCAAGGAGGAGCTGATAATCTGTATTCCTGACAATAATTACATATTTAGTTGGCCGTAACAGATTTTGGTACAGAAGACCCGAAAAGACCCGGGAAAGAATACTTACCAAACAAGGGAAAGTTTGCAGCGGGAACCAGTTCAAAAAGGCTACTATAATAGAGAGGATCGGATGGCAACTGCAGAGAGATGACCATCGGAAATGCAGAAAATACAAGAAAAATGAGATGAGAAGGTTCAAAGAAAAGGGTCGCATATAGGAAACAATAACATGTTCTCGTCATCACTTCGTGACTTAAAAATATCAGACAAGTTGGTCGCTATGTAATAGGGATTGAAAATTATCTGGAGGAAACCCATACATCACTAGGACAGTATGCTGTAACCATACTTTTCCAGCTCCTCTCCGACCTCCTCCTACCTTTACTCCCTACCTGAAGAAGGCCCGAGCTCAGTCCTTTTAAAACCCCAATAACAAAACAAAACTATGACGAGAATGTAGATTTAATGTATAGAACGATCCTTACAAACACGATTTCAGTGCTCATGAACTTAATTGCATGTTATGTTAACTATTATACTGATCCTATACAAGTACACGACATCAGTGAAAAGTAGATTCTTCCCACTCTCGTGACTTCCAACATTCACACCACTCCAGCCAATATGAACCAGGGGAGATAATTCTTATGACCTTAAGTTTATCTCCCTGCAACGTTTTATTCAGTGCCCATTGGTAAAGAAAACATCAGGAGAATTCCATGCCAAGAGATGTTATCGATAATCAGACGGACTCTGCTCCTCCACGAAATCAGAGTTGTGTTCAAGCTAGTGCTGAAGAGGAAAGAGACACATGACAAATTTAGTCTAAGAAAACAACGAATAAAATCAACGAGTAATTTGAAATATTGCCAGTTAATGTAAACTGTTGTTTTTGTTGTAAAAAACAATATCATGAAACATGTATCGTTTATATTCCCGTAATAAATTAATCATGATGTATTATGTCCCAGGTTAAACTAACCAAATGTACTTGTGACAATGAATTTGTAAACCTAACCACGTTGAGTCCACAGTTCAACTACACGTGATGACATATTCTGCTAGTCCGAGGATAGACCATGAAACATCTTGTTTTGAAGGCGTGTAATTCTAAGTACACGAGTCCAGAAACATTAAATAAAACATGAAAGGTATTAAAATCTAGTCCTTATTTTTTATGTGGCAATAAAATTATGCATTTTGCATCTTTAGATATTCTTCTGAGTACTAAGATTTCCTTGGTAAAATTCCAACACTTAAGGGCTTTATCAGTACAATCAACAATGACCGTCTGGCTGACGCAACAATACACAGATGTCGAATTTCAATACGTCAGCTGGCCACAACTTGATACTTACAACGCCTGTCGCATACCAGATCTTATGAGATTTTTCGGATGAAAAAAAGAAAGATAAAGCTCTACAGCATTAGGGTGCAATTGTTTTAACTGTTTTTTGTTTGTTTATTTTACTGATGTTTTTGTATTATATTCCTTTTTGGATATTTTTATTTTGATGTGCTCTCTCTCTCTCTCTCTCTCTCTCTCTCTCTCTCTCTCTCTCTCTCTCTCTCTCTCTCTCTCTCTCTCTCTCTCTCTCTCTCTCCCCCCTCCCCCTTCTCCGGTGTATTGCAGTCCTGTTGTTAGGTAATTCCTAGCGTAGTTTTTGCTGACTGATGAAACCCAGTGTCAGTGATAAATAAAAAAAGCCACAGTTTCAGTATAGGACGAGCATTATGAAGATCTTCTTAAATTGTTGTGAATTATGAAGGAATTATGGTAGAAGTCTAAACTAACAGAAGAACAGAATCTGTAGAAGATCTGCATATCATAATTAAGTTAGACTACACATCATCTGTTGCGAAACGAAATGCAAAAAGTAAATTCCTTAAGCATAAAACTTTATTAATATTGCGTTATCAATTTAATGTTAACACATTTCTTTTGTGTAGCTAATCAATATCATATTGCCGTTAATAGCATTGGGTTTCTGTGATATCGATAGAACTAATCAGGTCCTAATTCCACAGACAAAATCGGTGCTAAAACCGAACACCGTCAGAAAAAAACAAAACACAATTAAATATCTGTATAAATTTCATTTATCCATAGAGATCTATGCATATTATATCATTACTTGTCTTTAACTTATTGTCTCTTCCAATCTCCACAAGCAAGGTGGGCGATTGATCGGCTAATTGCAATTTTATAGATCAAAGCAGATCGTTCAGCCATTCTTACAAAGTATTAGACATTTCTATTGGCCGCCAATCTGTTATCTAAATGGTGATTGGCTACAGTCACGCAGACGCAAATAACTCCTCAGGCTACACACGGCCAGGTGTGTACGGTAAAATAACAACGGCACGGAATATATACAGACCGAGAGTAACTGTACGAGGATGTGGTAAAATAGTTACTGGATTAACACACTCGTGCAGGATTATAAAGTTTGGGTAGCGTTAGACTGTTTTTACAATTTACTCACTGATTTTGTTTCTCAATATCGCGTGTTCCCAGTCATCGCACGTCATGCTTGAGTCACCGATTTGCGCCCAAGCCGGGTCAATGCTATTTTGAGTGACAGAGCCACGTTTTGTTTACATTCGATCACGGTGGTACTTTGGTTCGTTCATGGAATTATTAAGAACGGGTTTAATGTTTTCGCACTGTGTTTAGACACCGGTGAATATATCAGGAAAGATCGGGAAAATGGGAAAAGACCACGATATTATCCAGGCTGTAAAAGACCGAGATTCATACGGACTTCAAAAAATTCTCACTAAGTTAGGAAAACAGTCTAAGAACAGTAAGTTTCATTGTTTATTTGTTTAGATTTTCGTTACATTCATAATGTTGAGACAAAACTCTCATCTTATCTATTAATATGTCGTTCGATGAAAAAATATTGAAGTCACTGTACTGAGAGCACGTGTTACTCTGGACCTGCTTGCGGTGGATCTACACACCTAAGCTTATATAATTATGTTTATCGACTATGACAGTACATGTCAAAAATGTCATTCCTGTTCGAAAAAAAAGTTAATAATATGAACATTTTTATAAATCGTTGTTTTTTTATGGCCAAGAACAAATATTTTATAATATAATATACTATTATAAAAGAGGGTTACCACTTCATATTAGCAAAGGTATAACAATACAGCATGATGCAATGGATTACTTCAGAATAAAACTGAATCATCAACAACAGCGAAGGCCATTATGGTCATTTATACAAAAGTATCAGAAATATAACAAACACAAGGAAATGTAATTAATTATATAGCTGTCTATTGTAACATTCATATTCTTGTACCATCTTGGTATTTGTTTTGTTGTCATGTACAAGGAAAATGTGTGTACGTTGTCCAATACATACCAGATACATCATCAGTATTTCACATTCAATTTAGTAGCAGTGATCTATTATAGATGTCAACTCAAGTACAACTGAATATTGAACTTAATTAATATGGTGTATAAATAAGGTGGACAGAAAGTTAAATTTAACACATGTAGGCCTACATATTTCCATTTAGCCATATAATGTTCATTCAAACATTTCACTTTAAAGGTAATCTTGGGTTTAAATATTGATATATGTATTGTCAGTGATAAAAAAGGGTTCCTACTTCATGTAAATGTTGGTGTATCCAGTATGACTTTATAATGTCAGTATACTTTTAAAATGTAAAATTGAATATCATCAATTGGTTACTTTTAATCGTCTAGAAAGTGTGATATTAGAGAGTGATATGTAGATTCATAAAAGGTCATGTACATGTTTTGATAAAAAGTCTTTGCTATTACTCTTATTAAGAAAAAATATAAATGATCAGCTGTTGACAGTCTATTTATGGAATATGAAACATATCTTGGACTATAATTTGATACACAGGTATGTGTACCTATTTAGGGTATTCCCATAATTATATGTAGATAGAATGTTAGTGTTGCATATTTCCTTTTTTTTTTTTTTTTTATAAAGGTGTTTTCATTTTTTTAATTTAAATCTTTTAGTTCACAACACAATACACCCAAGGTCATGTTTAATTTTTTGTCTGAAGTAATATGTTTGACAGTGTCGTGGTTAAGATGACCTAATTGAGCAAATTGATATAAATTACTTGCATACTGGTATGTTAATTGTCTGTATTTTCACCTGACAGGTAGACTTACTTGAACCAGAGATAATGATCAGTCATTAAAATATTTCATTTGCAATATATACTTTTCTAATAGAGATACCTCCATGCTTGTAATATATTGCAGTCAGTTGGTTGGCAAAGGTGAAGTTTTGTTATTCATTCGTTAAGTAATAAAAAGAAATTAAATACCTTTGGAATTTTGATATTTGTTACCAAACAAACATTTTGTACATTTTTTAACAACACAAGTAAATGTTATATCAGTCTGAAGGCCCATTTCTGTGGGTTTCCCAAACTTTGTTATATACATCTACCTATCTATAACCATACTAAAGTTTCAGATCACGACACTGAAAAAATTAAGTAATCCCAAGAACATTAATTAGCAAATTCATTTATAGATATCATATTTGTTGGCTGTAAAATGTATGTACAAAATGCAGATGTCTTGATGATTGTGTCAACTCTTTTAAGCACACTCAAACTCTGCAGTTACATGCCCTATTTCTGCTTCCCGTAGGGCATACCTTTCCTGTAGTTATCTCCAATTCAGAAGAAAACAGAATTTGTAATTCCCAATTATTGGAAGTTTTATCAAATACATGATAAATGTTGATCGCAATAAGTAACTCAATACAAACTGCTAGTACCCAAGAGCACATATTAGTTGAAATGTAATATAGTAGTTATGTATTTGTATAGTATATAGGTCTGTTACTTAGGTATTAAAGCTGATATAAGATCTAAACTAGACAGAAAAATAAATATAATCAATATATATTGATTAGGTCTGTAAGTAGTTCACACCTACCCTTTCAATAAATATTGATTATCCAGAAAATTGGATCATCACATATTCCAGTCTGGGATTAATTACACTTTGTATTATGTATTATATACATACCTGTATGGTCTGTAGGTTTATTTAATATATACATTTAATTTACTTGAACAAATGGTTTTCTTTTAAAGAATTTTTTTTAATAACTAGCTGTGACAGCTTGTTGACAATCGAAATACATCATTACATTGATGATGTTAATTTTACTTTTTCATGTTAACAGGTTGATGTCCCTAATGACCTATTCTGTATTGATGGACTGTTAAGGCTGTAATGATGATAATTATTGTAGGAATGTTCTACCTCTACCATTTAAATTATTATAATGTAATACTGATTGTTTATTTGCTGGGTTGCCCTGTCAACAGCTCGAATCATTTCTAGGTGGCAATAGGGTTATGTTGCAGTAGCTGGTGGCTAACTCATTGAACAGCATACAAGGCTCATTGCAACATGCCATCAAAACCGATAATGTCATTTGATACTGACTAATCCTATCATATAGTATACTGTAATACATGTGTGTAAATATAAAAGATATCATTGATGGTTCTTAAAGTATAAATACGGTAATATCATGTTTACAGCACTGATGGCAGGTGTATATAATACACATATTGTATAATTGGATTGCTATTACATCTAATAGAAGGTGGAAGCCTGAAGAGATTGCTTGTGCATATGGATATGCAGGTGTATATCTAGGGCCAATGACATCAGAATTCAACATGCGCCTGCTTGCCTATATAACCAGACCTGAAGCTCTTGATTTCTCTGGAGCAGAACACAGATAATAAATACTTTTTGTAGGATGATATATATATTTTCCAGTTTGATAATCAAGGAATTCCTTACTTAATACTGATCATGATAAAGACTTCCCAACTTTTAGTTTAGGTATTGTAACTTCCTAGAAGTATACATATACAATATAAGTTTTTGAAATTATGATCTGGATTTCATAAACAAAGTAAACTTTGAAAAACAGTGAGATTTTTTTTCAGTTACATGCATTCTTTCTAAACAATTTGTTACTTCATCTTTTGAATTAGAACAGAAAAAGAACAAGGATGAAAAAACAAAAAGCATGACAAAAGTATAAATATCAGTTGCTTTTATGCAGCATGTAGCATGTGTGTCTAATATATACATTTACAGTATTTTCCATACTATAAGCTGCACCTTTTTTCCTAGTGAGTCAGGTGTGCGGCTTATACACCAGTGCGGCATATATGAGGACAAAAAAAATCCGCATGATATAAAAAAGAAAACAGAAATAACCCAGGAAGTACGCCAGTACATCAGTACAAGACGGTACTGAGTTTTTTTGCGAATATCTGCCTGTCACATTTTTGTGACTGAAACAGATTGTCTAGAGTCATCGCTTGCTATTGTATACAGGATGATTTGAAAATTGAAATAAAAATAACATTCTTTTGCTGTTACATTGAAGCTATAGTGGAGGTTTACCTTTTGCATCATGGAATCGATAGATCATTGGGTAATAGGTCAAATTCTATAGCAACTGCCATGCTTATTTACAATATGAATTGCTTTGTTTAACATACAAGAAGAAGTAATATGAGACTATCAGAATTTGGTCAGCATGCAAGGTCCTGCGTTAATATTAACAGTACAGACACCGATGGAGAGATTGTTTAGTAAACTGTAAATAACTTCAGGCCTTACAGCTGTGTATAGACAAACTGTGAAGGCACCAAAGCCAAAAAAGTTTGATATTTGCCATTTTATGGTTTTTGAATTGCATAAATAGGTAAAGGATTATCTGTGTATAATTCATTTGCAAGCTTTATTTGATGTATCACTGATAATCTTGATAAACTGCCCTCCCTTTTCTGATATATCAACAAACTTTGGTCAATATAACGGTAACCACTTCGTAAGAAAGGATGCTGCTTACATTTGGGTGCCGCAAATATGTGGATCAAATCGAAAAAGGAAAAATCAGTAAAAATAGGCTCTGCGGCTTATATACCAGTGCGGCTTATAACCCAGAAAATATGTTATGTATATTGCAAATGTGTAATTTGCGAGATGTGTTAACTTGCTTGATTTCCCTAGAGCGACCCTTTTTAAACTGTTTACCAGCTCTGAACTATTGGAGAATATATGCAACGGTATGATAGAGCTTACAAAGTTGCAGGCGATAGGCATGATGGTGATGCACCAAACTTTGTTCCGCTGTGTAAGGATTGGTCAAAAAGACATAAAATAAAGCATCATCAAAACTTGCAACAATCTCTTGGAAAATATGGTTTTCAGCATCAACCATAAACTCTTTTAAACAATGTCACAACTGTCATTGTTTAAAATTTTATTTCGTTGGTGGAGTCTAGCTTAAGAATTGTGGCAGAACAAAGTTACCCTAATAAACAATCTCATACATAGATCTCTTGGTGCAAGACTCTTAAAGAAATGAGATACAATTATATCAATTTGTGATGGATGGCCTGGATATTTGAACTTGGCAATGACAATTTGTGTACTCATTCGTCAATAAAAGTAAGTTCTTATTGATACTAAAGTTTTAATGAGGTTCCATCCATATAAGGTATTACTATAGCAACCAAATATGCCAGTTTCAGCTGCAACATACCTAGAGGAGAAAGCCTTAAGTTACAATGTTCCCCTAAATCCAGTAAAATTTTAGATATTTTCTGAAGAACATATATATATAGGTTTTGTGCTTCACTTCATATTTGAGTGAAAAAAAAGTAATGAAATTGACTTGAAAAGGTTTTTGTGCAGTGACCATGACATTTATTTGATTGGTTTGACCTCTTCTACGTTTGTTTT